TACCGGACATAAAATCGACGCCTCCGCTCTTCAAGACAGTGGAGCTGAAGGAATACTTCTGAATTATCGTTTCGCCCGCCATCACAACCTTCCCTGCACCCGCCTTCAACGTCCCATCCCTGTCCGCAACGTCGATGGATCTGACAACGGTATGGGGCCCATTTGTTACACTGTGACACAGAAACTGCGCCTGCCATCACAGGATGGTGTATCCTATCATGAGGAGCTTATCGAGTTCTTTGTTGCAGACATCGGTGACCACGATCTCATTCTCGGTACGGACTGGCTTCACACACATAACCCAGAGGTCGACTGGTCTAAGTCGCGTGTTGACATGACCCGGTGCCCTCCGGACTGCACACTTGTTAACCCGCCTGTCACCCACCTTCGCACACTGCGCCCGCCATTGTCAGGACGACCCGTCTCTATCGAGGAGGTTGATGATGACGAGGACATTCATCTTCGTGCATGGCAGCAGGCTTCAGCACTGCCCATTGACTCCCCTCTTCTCATCGATACCAACGACGACGCGCCCGAACTCCTTTCCATTCCTGTGGCACGGGGAAACCCTGTCACGATGGAAAGTGTTCCGGATGCCGAGGACATACGCCTTTGCCTACAACTGCGCGCTTGTTCCCTGGACACAACTCTGGATGAACTACCGACAGTTGACGAGAACTATGAAAGTTCAGCCGCTCTCCATATTGGACCTAGGCGGCTGAAACTTAGCAATGAGTTGGAGGACGTTGCTTCCATCCCCATGTCGGACGAAGGTTCAGCCGCTCTCCATATTGGACCTAGGCGGCTGAAACTTGGCGATGAGTTTGAGGACATTGCTTCCATCCCCGTGTCGGTCGACTGGGTACTCAGAGGTCTACAGCTTGCGCGGATTGTCCCCGACATTGAGCACTGCACATTCGAGCCGGGCGATACCATCTTGTTCACGACCGACTACACCGAGGACCCTGAAGATGACGATGATCCAACCGTATACATCCGCGCTGGTTTCACACGATCTCAAGAGCTGGCGGAGGAGCACGCTGCCCAGGCCCCAGCTAAGTCCTTTGAAGAGCTTGTCCCGGAACAGTACCGACCATGGATTAAGGTGTTTGACAAGAAGGTCTCGGAGCGCCTACCGGAACACAGCAGACACGACCACACGATTGACCTCAAACCAGAATTTGAGAAGCGTCTAGAGACCCATCCTATCAACGCTAAACTCTATCCCCAGCCCGGAAATGAGAAGGCAGCTATGGAGGCGTTCATCAAGGAGCATAGGGATCGTGGCACCATCCGCCCTTCGAAGTCACCCATGGCAAGTCCGTTCTTCTTCGTCAAAAAGAAAGACGGCACTCTGCGCCCCGTCCAGGACTACCGCATCCTCAACTCGGGCACCGTCAAGAACACGTATCCGCTACCGCTCATCGGAGACATTGTTGATTGCCTCACTGGCGCCAAGGTCTTCTCCAAGATGGACATCCAGTGGGGTTACAATAACATTCGGATCAAGGAGGGCGACGAGTGGAAAGCGGCGTTCAAGACCAGCTTGGGACTGTTCGAACCTTTGGTGATGTTCTTTGG